ACTAGTGCTAGTAGACCTAATACACTTAATATACTGTATATAAGATTGCATATCACGTGAGAACTGCATGTCTGTCCACCAGAAGAAGTCATTTAGTATATCAATTCAAAAGATAGATATGATAGTGAGGTGTGGCGGCTCTCAAGTTAAAAAATCGGATGATTATCCCGTTGGAAGATTTTGGTGTAAATGTAATCATAAGATATCTATTGCTCTTTGATTGAGAAATCCTGTAAAAATGGGTTATGCCTTTGGGTCGGCATTATTTTCCTTAAAAGTTATGCCAATTTAAAAAATTATTTTTAAAATACTTATAAATCAACTTTATAAATGAGGCGAATTCTACAAATGCAATATAACCGATTGCTAATAACACCAAAAAACTTTATATTTAAATTAAAATAAAATTTATGTTACATAATAATCAATAAATTCAAGGCGATACATTTAAGTATGCATTAAATACATTATAATTGAGAATTTATATTTTGATGTTGGTTATATTATCTAATATAACATGTTTCATGAATATTAATAAATTTGTACAACTACTGAATAAGAATTATTTTATAATTTATAACATAAAAATACTTTGGTAAATTATTTTTCTATTTTGTGTCCCAATATTTGAATGAAAGGCAGCAATACTTAATATAAAAATAAATTGATTACTCATTGAGATAATTAATAGCTATTAAGATGATAATGTATATTACAGAATTGTACTGTTTTTAGTACAAGATACACGCATACAAATATTGTAATTAAGATAAAAGTGTCCAGAGTTTAAGGACAACTTAATATTTAACTGTAATATAGACTTTATGTCATTTTAATCTTAAACTTGAAATGTATATAAAGAATAAAAGTATTGTATTTGAGGTACTGTTTGTGGAAATACTGTATTAGATCTCAAGTCAGACCTGAAGCTAAGACAAAGAGATAATGACAACTCAATCGAGTAATTATTACGAAAACTTTCAGGACTTTCTCGACGACGTCCAGTACTCCAAACAAGGAGTCAAAAAGTATGAATGGATTTTCGGAGAGGGATACCTGTCCACTGGTGGACTCGAGACTACCCGAGAGATTATGCCACTACTTGAGCTCAAAAAAGGTCAGCGAGTATTAGATGTTGGGTGCGGTCTGGGAGGACACGACTTCTTCATGGCTCAAAACTATGGGGTTTATATCGATGCCATCGACTTATCCAAGAATATGATGTCAGTAGCGCTGCAGCACTTCAGCAAAAAACCAGAAATCGCTGATAACATTAAGTTCCGTATCTGTGATGTGACCACAACTCCATTTCCAGACAATTATTACGATGTCATCTACAGTAGGGATGCATTGCTTCACATCAAAGAAAAGCCGCAATTATTTCAGAAGTTCTTTCGATGGCTAAAACCCGGAGGAAGAGTAGTCTTCACTGACTATTGTCGCGGAGAAATGAATTCGTTTTCCGATGAGTTCGAGAAATATGTGAAACAAAGAGATTATACTTTATATAAAGTATCCGAATATCAGACTCTTATCAAAAACACTGGATTTGTGGACATAAAGGCCGAAGACATTAACGACAAGTTTGTCGATTCTCTTCATCGAGAACTCAAGAAACTGTATTCCGGGAGAAAAGAGTTTATGGAAGCGTTTAATCAGGAGGACTATAATGATCTGGAACAGGGATGGCTCGCTAAAGTCAAACGCGCCAAAGATGGCTACCAGACATGGGGTCTCTTCAGAGCCTATAAACCAATTCACTGACCATTTCTCTGTGAATAATTAATTAACTAATTATCAGTTTCTAAAAATATATTTTTAACTCTTCTCTCAATAGTTTTATCATTTGAATAAATTTCTTACAAACAGTCCAACAGAGTATTTATTATATGTTAATTTATCATTATTTTGGTATCTGTATATTATGATAATTATATTTTTATGGATTTGAATATAATCTGTTCAAATATTCTTATTATAAACAAATCATAGTTTAATTTATATATCAAACGTTAACTATTAATATAACAGAATTAATTGAAATTTGTAGATTTGTGTTAAAAATAAGTCAACAAACGATAAGAATTTTCTCGCCTTAATTATGTATTGAAATTATAATCTATTTGAAACATAAACACGATTTTATAAATTCGTGTGAAGATTGAATAACGTCTCATTAATAGGAATTTTACATAAAAGTGATTATTCATTGCATTCATCATAAATATAAATACAGTACTGTATACTGTAATTTGCAAATAAAGATGACGTTATGTCACTTGAAAATACTATTAGTAAAGTAAACATTATTAGAAAATTAAAAATTCATGTAAATATTCTTGCAGACACTCAAACAACAATACAAGTCTAAAGTATTTTACTGGTATTATGTCACCTGACTGAATTTAATAAAATAAATACAGTTTAAGAATAGCGTTGAAATTATGATAGCAGGTAGAATTTTAATATTGTTTTGGAAATTCTAATTTTGCATTTACTTTATACCTAGTACTTAAAATATTTTAGCTTTTTAGCTTATACATGTACAGTATTAATAATTTCATACACTGCATTTATGGTAAATTATACCAGTTATTAATCCTGTTAATCATAGTAAACAACATCAAAATCATATTAAATAATCATTAATAGACGGGTATCTGAGTATACTGTTACAACCTGTTACTCTTTAAATTAACGCCTAATTCGCTTAATTTAAATATTAACATAATACCATTATTATAAATTATATTAACATTAATAAGTTAAGTTATTATGTATTGTTATAATGAAATTTACTGTAGGAATACCTAAACTAGATTAACTGTAAACTTGAGCCTAAAATGTCATCTTACAACTTAAATATTTATATTACATTTAAAAAATATTTATTTTAAGAATATTTATGTCATATTTTTACTTTCTTCTTAAATGCAAACCAATTAATCATTTGTCTCAATATATTTATAGTGAGACTAAAAGTATTAATGAATTATTTGTTTCCTTTGAAAGAATATCGAAAGAGTGATGAACTTTGGGTTAGAATTTACAGTTAGTTTAGTTTATGAAGAGAATCGGATAAGACGTGAATATTAGTGGAAAAATACAATTAAACTCAATTATCACAATCAATGGGAATATTGAAACATTAGAGCCATAAGAGACTTATTGACTTAATTGAGTGATGAGTTGACAGTAACTCAATGTAACTCTAATTTCATATCAATTTAAAATCATTAGTCATTCTTACGATTAGAATATACAGAACGACAAGAGTTTTCTATTTCATAGCATTTATGTCGAAACAAATGACAAAATTATCGCACATCTCATCATTTATTTCTACTTTTAGTGGAAAAATATTTTGCTTAACGTTTAGTCATATCTAAACAATATTATTAAATATTTCCTGTAAACCATTTACTTATTAACTGTCTCTAATATCGCACGTTCAAGATAATTAATAGTAAAATAGTAAAAACATTATAAATATCATTACATTTCATTTTATTTATAGCTTATCGAATGGTATACAATGTTCTCAAAACTATTTCTGAATTTTTATTTTTGATATTTCAAAATTACTATTTATTAATTAGTTATTAGATCTCATCAGTTAATAATCATGTTATTTATCCAATATTTCTATATTCTACTTCAGATTCGACAATATGATAAATTATACAGTATTATATTTTCACATAATGCAGAATAAGACCGATAATGAAAGATATGACAATTATAACCCTGTTTATTAAACATGTATGTAATTCACAACTGTTGCTTTAATATTATTTTCTCTTTTATATTTCATTAATTGTTAGCTGATTTCAAGATTTNCAGTATTATATTTTCACATAATGCAGAATAAGACCGATAATGAAAGATATGACAATTATAACCCTGTTTATTAAACATGTATGTAATTCACAACTGTTGCTTTAATATTATTTTCTCTTTTATATTTCATTAATTGTTAGCTGATTTCAAGATTTTATTCCAACCATTCATTTTAGGCATTAATGTCTGTTTTATGATATCATAGGATCGATGAAAACTTCTAACCAATTAACCAATTATGTGGACAATAACACTCATTAAACTAAACGTAATATAAGATTTCTGTTTTATGTAATCCTATCAGAATTGAATAAATAATTATTTCAAACAGTTCTTCACATGACAAGAATCACATGGTTTTGAATGGTTTATATCAAAATATTTAATTTATTTTTATATATATTCTGTAAATTTGATTACATAGAGTAATCGATTAATATACAATATTAATTAAAAACATATCTTATTACAATTTGAATTAATGTGAAACTCTTTCAAAATTTTATATTTATAGCATTTTAGAGCATGTGATATCAAAATCCCAATTATCTAATGAAAAGAGACACCAAAACTAATAGTTTCGAGTTTCGAGACATTGCAAAAATGTTTGAATTTATTACACAATTGTCTAATCATTAATGAAATCTATAAACATTTTCATAAATATTTGAAAGAATTTAAATGTAGGAGTGAGAGGTTTATAAAACTGCTTATACGTAAGATTACTGTAATAATATTATAAAAGTATTTTATATTTATGTTAATTATGATTTTTTTTGTATGTCAGCCTATTTTATCCATTATTTTTTTAATACCAGTATTTCACTTATGGTGTTATCAATACGGTATTATAGGAAATCATTTCCATTTACAGTATCCTATGATAGATATTGTTTGCAATTTATTCTGACAAACAAAATAAAATAGAAAATTGAAATAATGCATTTAAAAATTTAATTTTAAATTATGATTATAGTTCTATAAATAATTAGTAAATAGAAAATTTAAAAACTATTTCATCAGATCCACCAGTTTTATGCCAGTTATTATTTCAACACAAATAAAACAAATTCTTGATATAAACGTTTAGTTTATTTTAGGAAAAAGTCAACCCATGAGTTCCGATAATTAATTTAAATAATAAAAGTAAACTTTGTTTTAGTTTTGTATCACAATTTCAAAATCAGTCATAAGCTATCGTTTTTATCAAATTATCTTCATTTGCTAATCATTGAGAGGTCACACACTGTATGCTATACACTGTATTATATTCGAGACGAATACAAGAATTATTTGAATTAAGTATTCATTTCTAATCTGAATAAGTGAGAGAAGACACGAATAGTAAGAATTGCTAAATATATGCATAAAGAGTGATAATGTTTGGTACAAATGGTGTGTGAAATGAATGAATGAGTGATAGAGCTGTGGAACTGGCGTTTTGGGGTTCTTTGCTGGTGAACCAAATGTGATAAATTGTTTTTCTAATATTGTTTTTATTAACCCAATTAAGCCCTGAATTAGTGGAAAGTCATTCATTGAGTCGATTCATACATTGAAGTGATTTATGTTTGATTTTTTGCGCTTTGAATGAAAGACTCGTTTAGAAGCGAATTATACAATAATAGCGATTATGACGAGGGATGCGGTTCAAGGGCGAAGACAACCCTCACAATCATCTGTCGACTGCGAGACACACGTTGGGAACGGCTTCAGTCGACAACATAACGCCTATGAGTCGAGTCTATTGCTGGTGAACAGTAGTGGCCATAGAGACCATAGAGACTATCGCAGCACTCAGTCGATTACTGACACCAATAGGATGTCTGACAAACCAAACTTACACAAGTCATCCCAGTCGGCCAGTTCTACATCCCTGGCCAATGGCTTCCAACTCAAGAAGGAGTTGGGACTCATGAATGGCGTGGCCATCATTGTGGGCATCATTGTCGGCAGTGGTATCTTCGTCTCCCCCCGCGGTGTCCTCCAAGAAGCGGGTTCTGTAGGTCTGGCGCTCATCGTCTGGATATCGTGCGGAATCCTCTCGGGTATCGGTGCCCTATGTTATGCAGGTATACGATACACACAATTATTATATGAGTAATATAATCGGAATTATGTTACGAAGAATTGGGAACTTCTATTCCCAAGTCTGGCGGTGACTACGCGTACATTAACGAAGCCTTTGGACCATTGCCTGCATTCCTGTAATATTTGATCCCATTTTCATCACTTTTTGTCACTGAATAAAACATTTGAAAACTTTTCATTAGATTCCTTTGGGTTGCTTTACTCATAATAATGCCGACGGGGAACGCCATCGCAGCCCTCACTTTCGCCAATTATATTCTTCAGCCGCTGTTTCCCAACTGCGATGTCCCGCCAAACGCCGTCAGACTAATCGCCGCAATAGTTATTTGTAAGTTATATAATGTACCACACGTTCAAACTAATGCTATAAAAGGCGTTTCAAATAAGTGGAAAGGCATCTCATGTGGTGTTTGTTGGTTTGACTTATATGTGTAGGTTTGCTAACATTTATCAACTGCTATAACGTTAAGTGGGCGACAAAAGTGCAGAATATATTCACTTTCGCCAAAATAGCTGCCCTGCTTATTATTATAATCTGCGGTGCGGTTCATCTAATCCAAGGAAATACACACAATTTATCGTATCCACACTCGTTTGAGGGCACATCCACATCACCTGGACACATTTCACTCGCATTCTACTCCGGACTATTCTCATATGCCGGTTGGTATGTATGCACTCGAGTTAATGCATTTATTCTTAACAGTCAAATCTGGTTGTAGTCTATTATCTCGTGTTTATTTTTTTATCGCATATATAATGAGTTCATTCAACCATTTAATGAATAAATTATTTTTAGGAATTACTTGAATTTTGTAACCGAAGAACTAAAGGAGCCCTACAAGAACCTACCCAGGGCTATTTATATATCGTTGCCATTAGTAACAATCATCTACTTATTGGCAAATATTGCTTACTTTGTGGTCTTAACGCCGGCTGAGGTGCTGAGCAGTAATGCGGTTGCCGTCACTTTTGGCGAAAGAGTATTAGGAATATTCCAGTGGATTATGCCCTTATCGGTGGCTCTCTCCACATTCGGGGGTCTCAATGGAGGCATATTCGCCTCCTCCAGACTATTCTTTGTGGGCGCCCGCAGTGGACACCTCCCGGGGAGTCTGGCTATGATTAACATTAGATACTACACTCCAATGCCTAGTCTATTATTTTTAGTAAGAATTTCAAAGTACTTATTATTGATATATAGTTGACATAAAACTAATGCCAAACGACTTAAAATTGAATTCAGGGCTTATTATCGCTGCTGTATTTGACAACAACTCAGGTCTATGTGCTAATCAATTACACGGCATTTATAGAGTCACTTTCGGTCACCTTTTCGGTGGCGGCCCTCCTATGGCTGCGCATCAAGCAGCCCGACCTCCACCGGCCCATCCGAGTGAGCCTTATATTGCCGGTCGTGTTCTTCATCACCTGTACATTCCTCGTACTCCTGCCCTTCTATGTCAGTCCTTACGAGACTGGCATCGGCGCTGCCATCACTTTCAGTGGCATTCCTGTGTATATGGTTACTATTTATTGGCGATCCAAACCACTTATTTATAAACGATTTATAAGTGAGTTACTTTTTAGTAGTTTATATTAAATGATGATTTCATAACTTATATATTACTTTAATTGAATTCAATTTCAGGAGCTTTTACTCGAAGTGTTCAAAGACTGCTGTATTGTTCCAAAGAAGAAGACAAACGTCAGGTTAAATAATAGTAATTTTTGAAGTTTTTTCCACAAAAATCATCAAATGATTTAACAAAAGACCACAAAAAGATTGGTATGTATAGTAAAAACATATCAAATGTTTTGTAGCCTTAAAAGACAATTAGTTTGAATGCAACGATTAGACAAACAAAATGCAATTCTTTGCACAACAAAGTGATGATTGAGTGCTAATTGAAAAGAAGTGCAATTATGTGAAGATTACACACAAATGGTTCCAATTTTATACTAATTTCTGTTTATACTGTAGTGATAATGTTTAAAATATATCAAAATATATCAATTGTTTGATTGCTCTCTAAGTTTGGTTTTGTAAAAATCTTTATTTTTATAAATTTATTACAATATTACATTATATTTTTTGTAATTCTATGTAAAGTTAACAAATTTTGTATTAATTATCACAACAATTTATGACAAGTTATTCCCAACTCATTTTGTATTTCATATACATTTTAAAGGAACAAAAATTATATAATTTTAAAAATAAACTTTTTGATCTAACCATTTTTTGGATACCATTCCAAATGTTTTGTACGGTATTGTGATTCATATTTTACAAAATTAATAAAATTATAAGAATTCTTCAAAGGTGATAAAATGTACTTGGTGTTACTTTGGGGTTATTTTAATTCGCAGGCAATCGTAACAAATTTACGATTGTATCATGGCTAAAAACATTTTCAATTATTTGAGTGAAGGGAACGGGATATAAGGTTGAGGGGTAGCCCTGAATTTGATAGTTTTAAAGCTAATTGAATGTAATGTAAATCATAGTAATGATAATCATAGAGAATACTAAATCACATGCAATCATATCTGTGAGCACATCCGATGCCACAATGAGGTCATCTGAGATAATAAATGGCAAAATATACTGTAGTTTTAAACCTGTTATCAGAGATTTTGTTGAAATTCAACACACACTTCAAATGTATGTTAAAAGCTTTTGGCAAATATTAGTTGAAACAAGATTCTCACCAAAAAACTTTATATCACAAATAAAACTACAAAATTATTACCAATTTTGGTGATAAATATCAAGTTTTAAATTTAAACACGACATACAGTAACTTTAACAAAATATTTGAAATATCTTAACAATATACTAAGATATTCAAGCACAATCTTCTATCCATTCTACGCAAAATGATAAACTCCTAAGTTTCACTTTATGTGAATCTACTGAGAAATTGAGTGCTATTTATAGAAACATTAAGAAATAGCAATTTGCGATGACTTTCAAAGACAAACATATAATATAATTGTTGATTGAATTAAATGAAAACTAATTGAACGGAAATATGAGACCAAAACTAATTGAAACTTTCAAAGCAGTCATCGATTGTATTGATAATCGCGACTCAATATAGCGTTCAGTGCAGTGAACACTGCTTTACAGTTAGCTTTGCTTTTGATGTGAATTACGATAAAAGCGCTAAAAATATATGTTTTTATGTTTTCATTGCTATTATTGTCACCAAAATTGTCTCCACAACTGATCCACAAGTGATTGACCACTCATTTGACGAGCTTATAGGAGATGTCGTCCGAGTTTAACATCCATAACGATGTGAACCAATTGATGAAAC